TCAGGCTCTGGAGCAAAAATAAATGCTGACTACTCCTTTTGATGCAGAGGAATGTTACAACATAGTCCATTACCAGATGATTAGAGGAGCAGAAATAAACCTTGAGCACGAAGCTGCAGTTCCCTGCTCAAATGACACTAACCCTATTTATAGACACGGAGTAGGCAGAAAGTAGATGAGGAACCAAAACATTAGGGAAATAATTTTCTCAGGCACCACCAGGCAATGACAGAATTATCTCAGTAGTATTTAGCTTTTGATATTGGAGAGCAGGAAAGTGTGTGAAGGGCTCTGGGACAGGCTCACCAGGCTCCCTGTGCTCCTGAGGAGGAGCTCCATGCCTTGGGGGCAGCTGTGGAAAGGCTGAAAGGCTGAGGTGGACAAAGCTCTGAACAGAATGTGCAGTGTCTGCCTTTCCAGGGAAGTGACTGAAATTAATGACATCCTTCGTGGTATTTTTAGGCTTTCTCTAATCCCTTACTCTTGAGGGCTGAATGATGAGCAGGGTAGAAATGATCGTGATGGGAGAGTGCCAACATCCAGAGCTGGCAGATGCTAGAATTGGAAGCATTGAAAGGTTGATGGATGGTACAAGATTTTAAAAGATTTGAAATTTTTTGGATGAATGTATCAAAAGTCGGAGACACTGAAGGGCTGATTTTATTTACTGACTCCATTCAAAGGACACAGTCACATAAAACATTGCCCTTGGAGGAGACAGGAGCCCCACTTCCACTGTAGTCACAGAATAAAATAGAAATTATATGCATAAGAATTTAATTTATTTCTTGCAGGATAGAAATTATATAAAACCTCATGGATTTACACCAGAGATGAAAATATATCGTAAAAAAAATTACATTTAGGCCTCACAGGGCCTGACTGGGATTTGTAGTGAACTGCCATCAATGCTTTATCAAGGGAGGTCATGAGACATACAGCAGGTTATGCTATCACACAATTCTGAGCCATTCTTCTGGGTTTTTGGTAAAAAGAGGGTTTTTACATGCTAGCTCAGACAATTTATTGGGCTGAACATGTCTTACTACAAAAATGTTAAAATAAAAGCAAGACTACTTTAGAAGTTGGCCTCTGTTCTTCTGAAATTACATGAAACTCATTGCTTGAAAGGTATAACATGGGATAGGTAATTTGAAATCTATTTCCTTTGGTTTCAGTGGTATTATTCAGGGTTTATGTAGACTTAAGTGACAATAACCTGCAGCCTGGCCTTAGCACCTATTTCACACAGCTATAAAGGAATTAGCTTTTCTCAGGAATTCTTGTTGTTACAAATCAGCCAAAGCCAGGATCTATGCAGTGAAAAGGAAAAAGAGGTTTACTTCTAGAAATAGTGAAAATGTGTAATGAATGATCATAAAACTGAACAGGAAACTACTCTGAGAATGGTACGTGCAGAATGAAGTTGGAAAATTAAGGCCAGACTGGGAATTCAAACTCTGAGATCTCACCAAGGTAGTAAGCACAGGAGTAATTTGCCAAGTAAGGTCGTTAAGGAAGAAAAGCTTGGATAACTCGTGGGGAAGACAGATGTTCTGTACTTGAGAGAGTGATTTAAGGTTTTACTGGCGCTTCAGGAACAGGGAGAAGAGATAAACCTAAAAGGATTGTTGGACTCGGGACACTTTTCCTGTCCAGCTCAACTCCTGCCTCTGATGTGCTGTTCCAAAGGCAGGCACAGGTCAGGGCAGGACAGTTCAGTCAGGTAGGAGAGCACAGCCAAATGAGGTCTCAGTGTAAAGTAAGAGAACAAAGCAAGTTGTGTCAGAGAGGAGTTGGAATTGATTTGTCATCGTGCTGCAATTAGATAACACTCTCTCCAAATAAAGGATGAAACATATAAAAAATGTCATAGCTAAAACCTGTCACCTGGAGAGTTTCTTTCCAAGACCAGCGACAGGGAAGGAGGTTTTTTTTTCCTCCCTCCTCCCCACCTTACTTTGGTTCCTAAAAATGTTTTTAATGAGGGGTTCAAATGTGTTATAAACAGGGTGAAAGATGCTCAGGCAGATAATTACATTCTTCATAAACCATTAACCAAAAGTTGGAGGAAGGTAGAAGGCAGATAACAGCAATGGCCACGTCCCATGACAGGTAGGAGAGGAAGAAGGCAGGGAATACCAAGTGGAATTTGCCAGAATTAACCCTGTGATCCTGTTCTGTGGGAATGTGCTGAATTCAGCACCAAGAACAAAGCACTGAATTCTGTCCCAGCAGCTCTCTGTGCCATGGGGGAAGGCAAAGAGTCCAGGGAGTGTAAATCCTGTGGGGAAACCAAGGGCAGTGCTGGAGGAAGCTGCTGAACCTGACAGTCAGGACAAGCCAGGAATCACAAGCTTTGAGCTCTGCAGATCAGAGTAAAGGTGATAAAGGTGGGAAACTCAAAGGTATCATGCAGCAGTGGTCATGATGAACCATCATGAAAAGGGAGATTTGGGTCAAAGGGAACAGAAAAATAACTTTCTTTTCTTTTTATTTGCTTGTTTTTTAGGGAAAGCTCGTGTGTGCAGTGTGCAGTGGCTCCCTAGCGAAAGGGAAAGCTGAAGGCTCTAGAACTCACCTGCACTACCTGATGAAGCATCAACATTGTCCCCAAACTACAAATTCAACCTGTTTCAGCTGTTATTGGTCACTTCACAAGAATATTTTGTGTCTGAAGCCCTAGAGAGCAATCATCTCTAAATAAACTCTAAAGAACTGTTTCCATTCCGCCCCTTGACCAGAAGCTGAAATTTGGCAATAACTTTTGCTCAAGTTTTATTTTCACTTCATAATTTTTTTCCCCACAGAGAAAACAATCTTATCCTTTAGTCTCCCTACAATCTTCTTTCTTCTGCTTTTCTTGACTGCAGACCAGGACTAATTTTTCAGTTTCTATTTCATTCTTTTAGGAAATTAATTACAACTTTCAGTACTGATCACTTTGAGCCTATGACCTCCTTCATACTTGCCCTTGAAACAGACATTTCTATGTCCATGTGGTTGGTTGGTTGGTGCAGAAGAAGACATAAAAGGTGCAAACATTCCAGAGAATACCAAATTTCACACTTTTCTTTTAGTTTTACCCTCATGGAAATTCAGGACAGCAGGCTGGGGATGGCATTAGGCTGCTCCTTTTCCAATTGAAGCTCTCACTACCAAGAACTCAGCAAATAAGACTTGAAGCTCCAGGATTCTGGTTTTTTTCCCAGATCTCCTCCCTACCTATTTTCTCATCCATCCCTAAATACTATGGGAAGAGTCATCATTATTTCTTGCTGTTCTTGGTGTCTTATTCAGATTCCTGCTTGGATTTCTCAGCCCAGATATCAATTTTAAATCTCTGTCTCAAAGGACCAATAAATCTACTACATTGTTCATTCTGGCTCTCATTTCTCCTCTTGGGCTTTCTTGCTATTTTCACTCCATTTTATACTTCCCACCAAACCTGTTCCCATCCTGTCCTCCTTTTTGCCTCTCTTCCAGTTTTCCCTCCTCATTCTCTGCTCATATTAAATAAATTTCTCCTTATAACACACTTCTTTCAGGAAAGCTTTCAGTGATGGTCCCACCCACATGCCTTAATCAAAGCCCCATTGAAGACTGAAGAAAGTTTTTAATGGGCTTTGGATCGTGCATTAAAAGTGGTGGTCCCTGAGGCTGCCTTTGTGCTCCAGTCTGTGGAATAAACTTCAGGAATATTTAGTGAATCCAAGTCAGTTTTCTTCCTGAAAACTAAATTTTTGGTGTGTTTAAAGTACACCTGCTATTTAACTCAATGTAACTGGAGGTATTTGTTAATTTAATCTGAAAAGGAATAAATCTTGGATAATGTTCAAACCCAGAGATTGTCTAAATAAGGAAAGGATTGAAAAGAAAGGAAAACACCAGGAAAGTAATGGATTGAGAGCTTCCTGGAGACAAGAAGCAGGTATAGCCAAATGCTGGAGCTGAGGATTATTTAAAATTCCTTTGACCAGTGTACTTCTTTGTGAGACGGATCAAATACTGTTTCTATTAGATGACAGGGGTTCATTTCCTTTCCTTAGATAAACACTTTAAGGTGCCAGACTCCTCTGTGAGATGATAAATGACTTCCTAGACGTCATCATAAAGGAAGTTGTTCCTTATAACTGTTCTAAATCTGTTACATATCAAATTTCCTGTGCATGGCTGCCACTCTGCAGCGCTTTCCAAACTGTATTTCACAAATGCACAGTGTGTCTTGTAACACCAAGACACTCATTTTCCAGCTCCATCTTTGGCCCTGTTCTCAAAACACAGGAGGTCATGGATTGGATTTAAAAGTTAGCATAACACATCCTGCCTACCTTGAATTACAAAAAATACACAATCTGGATGAGTGATTTATGAATTTCTAATTACAGATAGGGCTGCTCTGTTTCAGTTTGGCCTGGTGAGGCTGAGAGCAGCTGAAATCTGCTTATTTCAGTGATAGGAAATTCGGGAAGAAGGCTATTGCCCTCTTTGTTTTTGGAAAATGTGGATAGTGGTTTATAGGTCCTACTGGAAACAACAATAGAATCTGAGACTGTGCTTGTAGTCATGAGCTTTCAGATTGCCTGATAGACCAATAAATATCCTGCCAGGCCTTTTGGGTCTTCACCCATTTCCACTGGCAATAAATTGTTAAAATAAGCCTCTCTCTTTGTGGCACTTGACATTTGAAACCAAGTCTTCATTGTCAGAGTATGTATTATTATCAAATTAATTTTTCCATTGTCATAAAAGAAAGTTGCAGAGTCATAGAAAAGTAGAGAAATTGTGGCAACTGTATAAGCAGAGGTACAAACACCTGATGTTTGTCTCTGTGGTTGTTCATCCCCAGATATTCTTTATGTTGAGATTTGAAGGATGTGTCTGAAAAACACCTCTTTTTAATTTAATATTTTTATTAATTCCTAGTTTCAAGACGTATGAGAGACACTTGTTTCCTTCGAGCCCCACTTTTTTTTCCCTGTCAGATCTGTGTGCCTGACAATGTCCTTCGGTGCTCCTTGGGCCAAGATTCAGATGGACTTCAGGTGCCTCGAATTTCCATCACCAAAAAGTCCTGAAAAACAAACACAATTCATGTGACCTTTTCTTCCAACTCCCAAATTATTCCAGTTTTCATAGAGCCCTGCTCTTGGTCTGATTCTGTAAGGCCCTCAACAAACAATACTGGTTTTTAAAACTGCTTTCTTGATTAATGAGTTCACATGCAATTAATTCAAAGCACTAAGACTTAAACATGCAGTGACCTGAGGACAGAGGCAATTACAAAAATGTTGGGAGAATGTTTGAGAGCAGCAACAACTATGTGTGGGATGGTGAAAGGAATGGTGGAAAAGCACAAGTCCTTGACATATGTATTTGTATTGTTGCTTTTGTTTTAGCTTCAGAGATGCTTGGAACGTGGTCATTCCACTGCTTGGCCTTCCAGTGACAAATCTGAAGGTCTTAGAAAATAATAGTTCAAGTTATTCCAGGCTGGTGTTTATTAAGCAACCTTTGAAACACTAAAAACATTAAATCCCAATCTGATTGGATCAGGAAAACCTGAGCAAAGAAAAATGTGAGTTTGTGCAGAAAAAAATTGAGCAGTACTGGGATCTACCCATGGCTGCTATGAAGTCATAAAACAGGAGGGCTTAGAACCACCACTCTGAAATAAAATAATGCAATCAAAGCACTTGTTCCTGCACTGTACAGACCATATTTTAACGTGAGGATACATGCATGGATAAATGCAACAGCCCCTGATTTAGTCCAACACAGATAGAACCAGCTCCAGCACTTTCATGCATCTCCCTTCTAGAGGAGAGGCATTAATTTTTCTGCACTTATTATTTCACTAAAGGCTTCACCAGAGAGGAAAAGACAAATGTATGATTCATATTCTAAAGAGTGTCATCAACCTTTTCATCTGCTAGTGAACTTTTGAGAGGTAAATTGCAATTGCATCTATATAAATGCCAGCTTGTCTATTATCAGAATAGGATTTTTAGTTGTTTTGGTGATTTCAGTTTCCCTAGCAGAGAAAAGAAAATGATTACCCAGTTCACATGGAAAATGGGCAGCTTCAACATTTCTTCAGTGGGAATTCAATTCCCTGGAAAAATTCTTAGGCTCAGTTTGTGTGGACTGTTTACGACAGTGACTTATCAAAGCTGTGCCTTCAAATCCATATTTTATTGGAGAGAAAAAAATATCCATGGCTCAGTATCAGATGGTACAGCTGACGGTACAAAAACTCATTTTCCAGTGAGTTTGAGGGTCAATTCCTTTGTCCTGCAGTCTCTCTTAGTCTGCAGGACACTGCCAGGACGTACATTCCCAGGCAGAACAAAGGTATTTGAATATAGATATATGACCTAGGCATAATAGTATCCATTAGAGTCCTCAGGGAAAGCCTCAATGCTTCAGTCACCTGAAGAGATTGGTAGCTGCAAGATCTATTTTCTTGTGGAATCATCACTTGGATGATGAAAGATCAGGAGACAGTTCCAGTGATATGCAGTGTTTGTAATAATGTTACTGTAGCCAGTAATTATTTCCTGCATTTATTTATTTTCCTTAGTCTGTCAGCCTTCAGAGAGGTGATTAGTGTTAGTTTAGAAATCCTGGCCTCCTTTAGCTTTTACCAGTGACAAATTATTTTTCTTTATTCTATCCCTCCTGCTGTATCTCCAGTCACTCCTTCAGCATGTTCCTGAGAAGATCCTGCTTTCCTTCTCCCAGCTTAATGGGACTGCCACTGGCTTTGTTCTTTATACTGGAGACGTCCTCAACATCAATTTTCACTTCATCTTGATTTTCACATCACTTAGAGAGCCTAAAAATGTCAAGGTCTGAGAGTGCAGTCAGGACCCTGTGACTAAGACTGGCCCCATATTTCTCCACTTTCACACTGAATGAGCAGTATTTTAGCATTGCCTTTTCTATTTTGGTTATAAGGCCCCTGTCAGGGGCAATTTTTCTGGGCTGGGGTAGGAGAGTGACTTCTTATCTCTGCAGGATGAGAGAGTATTAGATGAGGACATTTTCTTACACCATGATAATTCCAAAATATTTACTTTGATTTGCTTGTTTCGAAGATCTGGCCGTCCCCATCAAAGATTCCTGTGGTGATGAATTGTAGCCCCAGGCTCAGTACAGAAAGTGCAGAAAATGCCTTTCCCTGAGAAGCTGTCAAGGAAAACTCTCCCTAATGTGACCTCTCCTGTGAGCCTGGATGTACTCCAGCACAGGGGAGCCCTTTGAATCTAAAATGTATATAAACACAAGTACACAAATCCAGTAGCAATACAGAGCTGAAGAAATGTCAGGACATTGTCTCTGCAATAATAGCTCCAGAGCAGGGCAGCTTCTCGTGGCTGCTCTGCCTAAAATGGGAAGCAGTGAGCAAGAGCAGCACTTGGGAGGAGGCACCACGACTGCCTGGAGCCTTGGGCTGTGTGATGGAGCACCAGGGATGCTGACACCCATGAGCAAACCGAGAGGCTGCCCCTGCTGCATCCCATCTGATAGGGCTGGTCTGAAAATATCCTTCCTTTTCAGTGCTGCAGATAAGGCCTCTTATTTATGAGAGTGAAAACTCCTCTGGCATCAAGAGGAAGCACCTCGGTGTCTGCCCTGAACATTGAGGTCTCTCTCAAAGCCCTGAGAGGGATTAAACACAAACATCTGCAAAGTCTGCTGCCATGAGAAATCCATCTGGGCTTGTACCTTCCCTTCTTGTGTGCCCACACAGAAAACACACTCCTCGTTCAAGCAGTGCATTTACTTAACACCAAACAGGATGTAAAATAACAAAACTTAGAACAAGGAAAAAATACCTACATTTCCAGCTGGCTTTATTAACCAACAGATCTCCCCCACTGCAAAATGTATCAAATACTTCCTTTTTGAAAAATGATGTAGATAATGGCTGACTATTAGCACTAATTGTACCCTTTGATGTTTGACTGGAAGAACAGCCAAGAAAATCTGAGAAATCACTACAACAATTGATTGAATGAAGTGATAAGGTGTATATAATACTCTCTGCTTGCAAGTGAAAAGACACCTCTGCTGGTTTTGATTTGTTGCCAAGAGTAATAAAAGATACAACAGCTAAGGAAATACAAAAGCAATCAAGAATGCAACCTATCTCCATGGTCGTTTTCCTGAAATAAAACACCTTGGGAAACACAGAAGCAAAAGGCTCAAAATAAAACAAAACAACTTTTACATTGGTTTGGATATTGCTGCACACAGAAAAAGGAATGGGAAATGATTTCTCCATACATGGTTATAAATTGAATAATTTAAAATCATTTTACTAAAATCATATGATGAAAATTAAAGATGGTGAAAAAAATTGAGCACCAGACAATAAAACCCAGGAACGTTAACAGAAATTGATTTATTTATTTCCCCGTGGCAGAGATAAATGACCCCTGGAATTGTAGCTGTACTTCTTGCCTGTTCAGCTTCCCTGTTTTCAAGGCTCACTATTAGTTTAAAAAAAAAAAACACTTTAAACCCCCAAATATTTCAATAATTCAGATGTTTTTTCTAGTCCACTTTTGGGGAGAGTGCCCTTTTGATTGAATACTATTTGTATTCTTTATTCTTTTTGACTTATTTCCTATGAAGAAGAATTCATAGCACTCCTGGAAATAATTTTGCAACATTCAATTTGCAAATTCTGCCACATGAACAATCACTTCTAATATGTTTTTACACGTCTTCGTTTGCCTCTTTTCACACCAGGCCCTAAAGTCTCACAGTAGACCCTGCCACTATGCCAGAAAAAGCAGTTGTAGCATTTTTAGCCATTAATTATTCGGCTCATTCAAGTCCTTATGTAAAATTCCCATTCCTAGGAATTGCATCCAAAGCTGCATATGTCTGAAAGGTTATTAAATATTAATATTGGGAAAAGGAAGACTATTCTCTCTTCTTCCTCTCCTAAAGTCCTCTTTTGATTTACTGCTTTCTGTAGACCCAAATGTAAATAATGTCACAGCAAATAAGTGTTTAGTGTCTGTGAAGTTTATTCTACTTGGGTTCTTAAGTCTGAGTTATAATGCATATAAATTAGTGTCCAGTGAGTGTTGTTTAATTATCTGGAAGCCTTGTCATTGACAAAGTGACCTGTGCTGGCTTTCTTGCCAGGAGGAATTGAAGTTGTTATGCTAAAGTCTGGACAATTTGATGTAAATATTTACCCACTCAATAAAGAGGTGTTAAAGCTAATTTGGCCTCAGGATGTTAAGTCCTGGAGATCACACAAGTCCCCATGGGAAGCCAACTTCAAGTTCCACAGGGAAGCTTCAGATCCTGCTGTAATAAATGAAAAGATGCTTGAACAAGGTGATGATAAGGAAAGTTTGGGCTTGATCATGAGCATGCCTGGGAAAAATGACCTGCACACAAAGAGGGATCCTTCTCTCTGTCTGTGCTTCCCTCACAGTGCCCATCACTCTGTTTTGTCTGAATTTTTTAGTTCAGAGTGAAGGTCAATGCAGAGATGTAGATCTTGATGCCCCACAGCCCAGCTGAGATGCTCCAAGGTATCCTGCCTGCCCGGAGCCCCAGGTGTGTGCTGTAAGTCTCCCAGCAGGTGAGTGTCTTAGCTAGGCTGGGGTGGTTCACAGGCCATGAGACAGAGCTGTGTGAGCAGCTGGACCAGGTGCTCACCCTCAGCAAGTCAGGACAATGACCACCAGCCCAAGGGCTGCAGCTTTGGTCAGTTTGGAGAATTTCTGTCAGAACCAGGGTAGCACAGAAATGGTGATTTTTGCTTTAGGGCTTTGGCTCTGTATCCCTCCTCTGAGGGACAATCTGACACAGCATTTGATGGGATGAGTGATTTTTAGTACCTTCTTTCTTCTTCTGAGGGTTTGACAGGGTTTGATGCTCAGGACAGTACTGGATCCACTGGCTTCACACTGCTCAGAGTTTGTCTGGATATCCATCACTTGTGACCACTGGAGCAACCAAGATCTGTCCCACACTGTCAGTGCTTAACCAGCAAACTCCTGGGCTCTGCAGCACAGCACGGAGGACAGGGCTGCTGCTGGATGGGGTTCTTTGGACTCACACACAACGAGTTTGACTCCCAGGGCCACCCTGTGCATCATCCTGGGCGGATCTGCACCCTCAGAGGCAGAGCCCTGCAAAGTCAGGGTCGTGCCTGTCCCTCAGGGAGAGGGGACAGCTGCTGCCTTTGCATCCCCTCTGTTATTTGGCCCCTCTGGTCACTGAACTCCACAGAGATGTGGCTGTGTAAGCATGACCAGCAATGATTTCCTGCAAACACAGTGTAAAGGATTTCTGCTTGCTCCACCACGTGCTGGTTGAACACCACATGCACAAGAAGAGCACCACAGGGCTTGCCAGGACAGGAGTTTTGGAGGAGACACGGCAGGAAAAGCAGCACATCCCACCTGGCACTGCCTTCCAGGGTGCTTTGGGACTTGTTGTACATTACAGAATTTGGGTCATCCAGGCTGAGGGTGGGGTGCCTCAGAAAGGTTGCAGACCCCACATGGACAGGACTGACCTTGGCTGGCTGCTCTGGGGACTCTCAGGGTGTCTGTCAGCACAGAACAGAGCCTGGGCTTCCATCTCCATAGCTGCCATGGGAAAAACCTAAGAGGATGCTGGAGAAGTAACCCTTAGTGCCATTAGACAGTGAGCAGGGATATTGGTGTTGAACCCACACCTTCCTTTGGAAGCACAGGTTTGTCCTGAAAGCTCTCTCTTTTTTTTTTTTTTTTTTTCCCAATAAAGAACGTGGGGAACAGAGAAAATCGTTTTTCCTCCACTGCATTACAAAATTCATCTGTGTATTTGCTGTCTGATTCAGATCAAGGACCAACACTGTCAAGATTATAAGGGAAAGGATATTTTCACTTTCAGGAAAAAACATAGACAGAATTAAAGCAGATCTGCTGAGCTTGTTTTCAGCTTCTTCCAAGAGAGGAATACCCCAGTTCCCAATTTCATCTTCCTAAACCAATGATACTTGCAGGGAATTATAGTGAGCCTTTTCCTAGGATTTTTGTTAGAATCCAGTAGTAACTTGAAAAAGAAATGACCTGACAATGTCTATGTACACACATATTTGGAATGCCAGAAACTGCTTTGCACGGATTTAAAACCACTCAGACAGCAAGGTGAGTGGCTCCATACACCCCAGAACTGCCACGCAGAAGTGTCTGCTCAAATTCCAGGCAAACACAGAAACAAATAACAATAAGGGAGCAGGGACAGGTTTTTAGCCTCTGTTAAGAAAATATATCAGTGTTGTTCTTGATTTGGTTCATGCTCGTCCTAAAGTGGAAGATGAGGAATGAACTCAGTAGAAATTTGGGTTTAGAGGTTAATTTTGCTCCGTCGTTAATTTTGCGGCATAAAATGCACTTTTCTCAAGACATCAAAATCGTAAATTGGCATAACCAGGGACAAGCTAATTTAGCTCTCAGAGAATCTGGCTCCACATGTCTCAGATTGTCCATTCTGTGACACTCTCTCTCTTTTCCCTTGCTGTTATCTCCCTCCCGTCTCTTGTCGGCTGCAGAAGGGAAACCAAAGGCTCCGACCACCCACGGGGCCTCCTCAGCAGCTGTAAAAAAAAGGTGCCCAGAGCCAAAAATGCCTTTTCTCCAGCAGTGCCATCTCCTGTGGCCTTGGGCTGGCGTTGGGGACAGGTCTGATGGCAGCCAGGGAATTTCTTTTAAAATGCAGAAGGAAAACATCCTTGCAGTGCTTCCCTCAGCCTGAGTGTTTCCCCTGGGGAATTTGCTACCCTGTTGGATGCACCAAAAGAGGATCTTTTTTGGGGGGGCCAGGGGTTGTGGGTGGGTTTGTTCTCTGTTCAAGGCCCAAATGAGCATTCTCAGAGCTTTATGGGAAAACAGCCATGGCCCACCTTGGCTTTTATGGGAGAGGAGGAATGTGAATCAAAAATTGAATTCATAGAACTTTGTGGGTGGCCTCCCCTGCTATGCAGAATATCTTTGTGTACACTCATGTCTGCCATGACTCTGAGAAAAAGCCCTTTACTTGTATGGCAACAAACTTGTAAGTCAGAATGTTTACGTTCCTGAGCACTATATCATATTTCCTGACAGAGTTAATGAAACAAATTAAGCAAAACTCCACACAGATTCCTGCGTTCACAGAAAACTTTGCAGAATTCTTGTAGCTCCTGGTTGTGGTGGTAGCTGAGTGTGCTGAGCCTTATTTTCCATTTGCTAAAAAATCATAAGCTTCCTGGTCTAGTCTTGACTTTTTTTATCTTGAGGAATGAAGGATTAAGTTAAAACTCTTTAAAACTACATCTTACTTCTTTCAGCTGCTCCAAAGCCAGAGTGACCCAAAGGGTTGGTCAACTTCATGGGGACCTGACATGTGTTTAAAGTTAAGAAAATGATTGATGACAGGGTACTTTGAACACACATTTTCCTGACTTGGGTCATCAGGCAAACGAATCCCTCAGTTCATTCAATGAGAAAGCTGCAAAAACATAAATATACAAGTGTTGGCCATGCTGGGTTATTAATGTGGTGTCCTCCAAAGAGATCATCAGCTCTCAGAGATGCCAGGGAAATGTGTACAGCAGAGCTCATTCACAGGAAACAGGGCTGCCCTTCTTCACTTATTTGATATTTCTGATCAGCTTTGAAATGTAAAAACAATGAAGTATCCAAATTTGCAACTAAAGAAAAAGGTTTTTATGAAATACATAATTCAAGCTGGTTTTTCACACCCATTTAATGCAGCTTTAGACTGAGTACATATTCACTTTTTGAGGCAAGGCACCACGGAAGACATTTCAGCATATAAATGGAAAAATGTTGCTCAGGAGAAACCTCCACCTTTACCTAATCATCCTTCTGCAGCCAAAACTTTCTTCAGGAAGGGGCCTCAGGAAGTTCCTCACCCATGAAGTCCTGTAATGGAATGGGCAGATATGAGTAACCACCCCCAGAGTGTAAAGCCAGCTCAGAAAACAGACTTTTACTATCCAAATTCTTTAGTTTTTCCTTTAAGAATGTCATATTAATGAAAATTTCCTATGGTGTAAACATTTTCAAGATTAAAATTGTATATGTAAATTAAGATTATGCCATCAATAGACTATAATTAATATGCTATGCTATTCTTAAAAAAATTATATTTTAAATAAAATGGAAGTTGAATATTTGGATCTTAAAATATGGATTTTCAAGTATGCCTTACCCCAGTTTCCTGTTGATATTTTTTATACAGATATTCATGACTTATTTTACTTAGTAAAATTGAATTTTGCCATATGGCTATTCTTACTCCAAATTCTCCTGTCTTTGTCTAACAAAAAATTACCACTCTGCTGCAAATTTGTTGAAAACACTGACCAATACAAAATTACAGAAATATCATGTCTTTTAAAAATATTCCTCCAAAATTAACCTGCATCTCACACAAAAAGAAACAATTGGATTTTAAACTATGCATAGTTCTAAAAGCTTACTCTCAAGCATCCATTTTTAGAAATACAGAACAATTCCTCCAGCTTTTTAAATAGCTGAGACTTAATATGCCATAAAAACATACTGTAAATATTTCTGTTGCTGGAATGGTGTCTCTGTTACCACAAGGAGTTGCTAGGATATTATCTGTGTCAGGAAGTTTGTTGTGCCTTCATAAAGGAAAACTAACAGTCATTTTGATGCATTATGCAAATAATATCCTGTTTTCTCAACAGATTCCTTTGCAGCAATCAAAAAAAAAAAAAAGCTCCCAGCCTTTGAGCAGATTTCTGTAGTCTGCTGTCAGCTCCCCTGCAAGGAATAATTCCATTTTTCCTATAATAATTACAGTAGTAAATAAACCCGTGCCTAATTGAATTTAGTGCTTGAGATCATACTGCAGACACACCTCAGAAAGCCTTTTGAACTCAGAAACAGGAAAAATGTTTAAAATGTTTGAAAGAAATCATTTTTGTCACCAAAATTATGTTTAGAAATGGCTGCTAAACTAACATCTCTGTTTTACTGATGGTTATTAAGTATCATGTGTTTAATAAGTAAAGTGATGAAGTTCATCACTGCAAAAGAGAAATTTGGTTTTAAAACTTTTCTGGCCCCCTTATTTCTGATACCTTAGAAGAACCTGTGATAGAATTAAACACTATTAGAGTACTTATAATAAAAGAGGAAGTTGTTTTCTCTGTAACACACGTAATTTATGCTTGAAATTTTTTTGGAAGTTCCCAAGGTGGTTTGGGTTTTGTTGGTTTTTTTTCAATACCTGCAGGAAATCACTTCAGTCTAGCTTAACTCTAGGCAAGACACAACTTTGCTGTGCTGAGCTTGGACTTTGATACTTATTTAGGTGTTGTTTTAAAGGGTCCTTTAATTCCTTCCTCATTGCTGGCCGTTCCTTTATTCTTTGTTTGAACAAGGACTGAATGGAGGTTAAAGCCTCCAGATTATGGCTGCAGCTCCTGGTTAGAGAAAACATTGGCCTTGGTCTTTGATGAAATGTATAGGATATAACCTGTGGGTCCAAAATCCAACCAAATGTACTTCAATTTTTTGGAGCTTAGCAAGCCTTTAAGCTCAGGTTAATTGTTTTCACTGCTTGGTGGTGATCAGAAGCAAAGGCTCTGAACGTTCAGTGCCCTGTTCCTGACCCAGCAGGGCGAGGAAATGTCAATGTGATGAGAAGGTCTCGGGAGATCTGCAGTGTGAATTCCAGGCAAAAGTTATTCAAACAAGCATGGACAGGATTCTGTGTAATCTATTTCAGCTTGACTCATTACTGATTTGGGTTTTTGATGACCACTGAAAAATTGAGAGGATGAAAGGAAGTGTTTTCCTGAGAAAATCAAAATGGAACCTCTGGTAAACCTGGTTTTATCCAGCACTGGATTTAAGGTTGAGCAATAGCACAGTGGACTTGTTATATTTGTATTATATTATTATAATTATAAATATATTATATTTATATTATATTATTCTTTAGACAAAAGGAACTATGAAGAAGAATTAGACATCTCCATAAGATATATTCTCTTGACTATGCAAGAGTAAGCTAGGAAAAAAAAACATGTATGAAAATATGTGTCCTAAATGGTTTTCAGTTTAATGTCAGGTGTATAAAATTATTCCCATGTTTTGGCAATATATGACTAATATTTATTGGGAAATCAGAATTTTTTTGGTTTTAAAGCCACTGCACAGGACCCCTTTCAGCAATGAAATAAAGTTGAGGATGAAAAAGAGAGATATTGATTATAATTTCCTCAAAGCAAAACCACTCTCAATGTATTTAGCATTTATGTCACTGATATATTTGCAAAAAAATTTAAGCATGAAGTATTTATTGTAATATATGCATTGGAATAAGGATGGAGCTGTGTAGCACTCACAGTTCTACACAGCTATTTTTTCTTCTATTCAACCCTCTAAAATTTTATTGGGGTAGTAGCAGGATTGGATAAAATAAACATACTGCTGTATTTAAGCAAAATATTAAATCACAGACAGGGAAATTAAGTATAAAAAGATATATTTACTGTGATTATAATAGTAAAAGAATAGATGGAAAAGCAGTTTGCATTTGCAAAGCAGTTTAAACAGTACACATGACACCACCATTATTGTAGCATAGTTCACACAGCATATAACTAATTTTAGCTGAGAATATTGCAGACAACTATAATTTCCTAAGCCTAAAGGTTTTTAATGAAATCATTTAACTTGAAGAGTTTGAGAACAGAATGTATTTTGAAGGATGGAAGTGAGGCAATAATAACATCATGCTGATTATGATTTTCAGGGAGTCTAAGCATTTCATCACTGCTAATTCCCACACAGTATCACCCATTACTTTCAAATAAATGGCCTTCTTTTCAAGATGTTGGGAATGAAAAACAGAGGAATAACTTGGAGTTTTCTTCAGCTCTCCTGACAAATAGAGATGCATTTCAGCTGTTTACCATTTAGCTGCTCTCAGCAATTACTAAATACCAGCCCCCAGCTCTGTTTACCTGATATTATCCTTCTACCAAGATTGCTCAGCATCTTTATTTTAGTTTAAAATGTGTAAAATCTTCATCTGAATCCTCCCATTTCTCTAAATGGCTGAAACAAGTGTCTCAGTTTCTGGTGATACCAATTCCCATTAAAATAAAAAACAAAGCTCAGACATCTGCTGAGGGGTAGAAGGACCTGACTGACCTTTTAGTAGTGGAAGATGTGTTGATCCTTTCTGAAAATGAGAATCCACTTGGAGAGCAAAGAGTGTCAGCAAAAACTTGGTTTGTTTTGGTTCAGTGTCTGCAGCACAGTGAGAGGGACAGCAGCCCATCATCAGATTAGAAAATTTCCAAAACACAGTTCTGTGCAGTCTTTTTAAATTAAGTAGATACACATTCTCATTTCCTTAGGGAAATGAGTTTAAAAGGAGGTCTCTGGGAAGAGAAGGGCAGTTTCTAAGACTCAGAAGAAGGAAAAGAGGGAATAACAACTGCCACCTAAGCTTCAGATGGAATTTTCCTGTGTGGCAGTTTGCTGTTAGATTTGTTGAATGCCAAGTTTCTGCTTTTGAGCAAAAGGATTGACTGTGGGGTAAAAACTTCTGCATTAATGGGGTAATTTGAAAACAGACTCAGTGCCAGACTCTCCTTCTGCCCCCACTGGTACGTGTATAACAATATTTAAGAGTGAACAACAGGGACTAAATCCAGGAATCCATACCTGGACAACAGTTCTGCCAACATTTTAACTTCAGTGAGGAATCCAGATTGGTAATTTGTCACAGATGTAATGTGAAAATCTGAGTTGTGTAAAGTTCTGATAAAAAATACAAAAAGAGATTAAGTTTATCTAATTTCATATTTTCTCACTGTCTAAAGAGGCAGAGTTAAACAAAAAAAAAAAAAATAAAAAAAGAGTTTATAAGCACTGGTGAACCTGGCTGAGGTTTTTCCAAAGCTGGCTTGTCTTCCAGATTTGGGGAAAAAAGTGCAAATCAATGTGCAAATCTTCAACCCTAGGCAAAACTCAGTCCTAACCACTAGATGTAAAACAGCCTCATTCCAGAGGCTCTACCTGAGTTTCCCTTGCTCTTATATTTTTTATCTCCTGCATGTAGATAAATATATTTTGTTGGAGGTCCATGCACCACAGAATTTCAAATCCAACTAGGCAAGACACAGAAAGTAAGCAAAACTCCTTCTTTTACATGTGGGAAATGGAAGCCCAGCTAAATACCTGTTTAAATTCCTGCAGGAACCTTGTTCACTGAGAAGTGAACTCCGTTTTCCTGAGTCCTTATCCAAAGTACCTACCTAGTTAGTGCCCAACTCATTTTTCAAAATGAAGAATAGGTTTATTGAAAGAGGGCAGTGATGATGCCCAAATATGATTGATGTTTCTGAGAAGGTTCAATCTGAGCAGACCAAGAATAGAGAAAGATACAGGCACAGAGAGATAATAAAGTGAATCATGCATTACGTGAATAACAGGAATTAGGTCCTCTGAGTACAACTACCCTGCTGTCCTTAATTTTTTTTTCCCCTGCAGCTTTTGCTGTACTTTTGGGATTCCTTGGAGAATCAAGACATGGAAACTCCCATGGACCAGCACATCGAGGAGAGCATAAGAATCTTGAGCAGCCTGTGTACAAATAAGTCGAGGCTTCTTACAGTTTCATTCTGAATACTGACCATATTTTATACCCACTTCCTACAGATTTGATTACTTTAATTCAGCCCATTTGTACTGCAAAGCAGCTCCTTCATATGCAATGTTTTCTGGAACCTTCAAAGCACAGCTCATCTTATGTGACAGAAGTCATAAAAGCTTTTATTGGAATGCCTTTGGTTAAAGGTCTTACAACTGGCCAGTCAAGCCTGTAGCTTGCCTTGACTTTAGAAATGCTCCTGGACTTTCAAGAGCAGCCCCTAATTTTCAGCTGCTGTTAATAACAAAAGAAACACCTTTGGCCAGGCTGATGCACACTCCCTGGTGTGGTGGAGCTCTACAGTAAAATTCACCTCCTTGCATGTCTCCCCATCTCCTGGTGATTTCCCAAGCAGCTGGGGACCATCCTAAATGTCACAACCCTCCAGACAAAGTTCAGGGAGCATGTCTGGGATGTTGATCTTCCTCTAATTTACATGCAGAGCTCTGGGTGCCTTGATGCACATGCTGGGTGAGAGGGTGTGTTATAAAACACACTGCACTGTTCCCACTTCTCCCACTGGCAAGGAGAGCAGGGAGCAGGCACATGGCACATGGCAGTCCTGTTAAATACAGCTGAAGGGCATTTGGATAAAGCTCTGGTAGATGGGGGATAGAAATCTATGGAAAAGCTGCATTTCTGCCTCAGAGTCAATGAATCCTGCTCGTGCCACTGACTCACACGCCCAGGCAGAGGCTCTGCAGTCAGAAAATGAGAAAGAAGAGACCTCAGAAGGAAATGTCAGGGTAGTCATTTTCTCATAGGACTCTTTCTGGCAGCTGGAGATGGTGGCTCTGTGACAACACGTTGGAGTTTGAAGGGGGATTCCTCTGGAACGGAAGCGTCCTCAGGACCATTTCCCTGCCTGGGCTCAGTCCTGTGGGAAACTCTTACCCTATGACGAGTTCTTCTAAACTAGATGGGATTTATATTTATTCTTAAGCTGTCTTTTATTTTTGGCAACTCCCCCACTGCTGGCTTGACATCTCAGAAACGAGACCCTTCAGATTCTCAGAAGCCAGAAATGCAGCTGACAAAACTAATTCAGAATTAGTCTTCATCAGCTCTACTCACTTGATAATGTTTTCTTTCCATTCAGTTATTCCCTCCCCTGCTAATTCTGGAACACATAAAAGTAATTAAGACCATGCTGCTGGACATACATAAACCAAATTAAGAGAAGAAAAGAAAAGATCTATCTGCTTAACCTGATTCTATTTTGTGCTGGTTATCCTAATTCTATCTCACAACAAAACATGAGTACATTGAAATTAGCAAACCTAAACTATAACATTTATTGGTGTGTTGGCCAGGAAATTCAAACTAAACCAAGACATATTTGTAGTTCACGAGCTTTGGATTTTGCATGGTAAGACATAGAGACAGGTGTTGAATAAACCTTGTAAAACAATCAAAAATTGGGAATATAATTCTGAACATACTTCGTTATTTTTGGGGTACCTTGGATTTGTGTCTAGAAGATTTTATTCATTCTCCTAAATTTCAGTCAAGATTTCTCTCAGTTATGGCTGTAATGGCTCATGGGGCATTGAGCTGCTTGTTATAGGGTTTTTTTCCTTCCCCTGCAGACATTGCAGTCTCAGCCTGAGACCTAAGAATGAGCTTGGATTCATTTCTAATTGCACAGCTTCACAAGAAAGAGCAGACTTGCCAGTTTGCCCAGTGTCTCCAGTGGTATTTCTTAATCTCATTAATCTCTGGAACTCTATTAATGTGAAGTGTACTCATGTAATAGACCATTCTGCTGATTATGTGCAATGTATGGAGAGATTTTAGATCAATATTTTCATTTTACTGGTTGTTCCCATTTGGCAGGAATGATGAAGAGTAAAATCTGCTCTCCTAGATGGAGCAATTCCACACACTGACACTTTTCCAGACATTCCAAACAGAAGCACAACCTAATATTTTGCCATATATTTTCTCCACTTGACCCATAAGTCCTCCAGTTTCTACCCAAGGGTGAGAATTTGGTGACTCCAGGTGTTAAATTCCCCACCAAACTCCTTAGTTACATTGACTAGCAGCTACAGGAAAAGCTGACAGACAGAAAAATTAAAGGACTCTTTTAAAATATGAAGTTTAATTCTCTTCAGAATGATAAAGGGTGGGTTAGGTGCTCACAGTTTTGATTTCAAATTTATTCCAATGGACAAGTAGTCTAAATTTGTATGCTACAGATGTGTTTTCTTATTCACTGCCTGTGAGTAGTAAAGAAAAATAAAAACAAGTTAAAAACATTAAACTCTCCTTTCTATTGTAGTGGAACTTGGAAAAACAAAGCTCCATTTTGAATTTTCAGAAGGTTACAGATGATTTCTGTTTCATTTTTAAAGTTGTTGGATTTTTCTTTTGTAACAATCTTGAATTCCTTGCTTGGCACTGTCAGGCACTTACAGAGCCTATTAATAACCTCGTGTACACTTGATCCCATACCCCCCAAAAACACCCAAAACTGGGAGTTTTAAGGGAAAAGTCTTTCACTTGGTCAGAGCATGCCAGAAAGTCTCTGTTTGGGGTGATCCCAGAACACCTGTGAGGGGGAAAAAAGGGAGTAAATTCCAGGGCCTTTGTGGAGGGGTCTGAAGACTGTGAACTTTCTCCTTTTACAGTGAATTTACACAGGTAGACCCCCCCAGCCTTGCTTTGTGCTGCAGAAATCCTGGTGGATTGTTACAGCAGCTCTGCTTTGTGTGCAGCCTGGATGAGCTGAGTCTATTTGGGCAAATCATCTCAACCTTCCACAATTCTTTCTTCTGTGTTCCACTTTTACATCTAAAACATTTAGGACAAGCTCATCTAAAGACATTTTTGCTTTTTGACAATTTAGCACCTCTTGGAAGGAGAGTTGCCCCCCAGCTCCTGGGCAAGCAGTGGCACATGTGGTCAACCCCTTCCTCCTGAGAAAATGCCACCAGTGTGTGGGGAAGTCGGGCAGTATTTCATGTCTGAGCACTGTGGGCCAGCACAAAGCTTTTAAATGCTAAGTTTAGGCTAAGATTGCAACAGATAACCAACCTGGAAGATGGGATGCAGAGCAATGTGAGAATTCTGACACAGGCTAGACTTCCAGTCACTGAATATTGTGTAATCTGAGATAAATAGAAAGCTTTGTTGTGAAGCTTAAAAAAACCCCCTCAGGATGGAATGCTTGTTGAACATAATGCTGCCTAATTTTGACTCTGTCAGCTGTAAAATTCATCTCCTCATTAAAAAAAAGTTAAATAAACCAAAGTTTATGAAACATATGTTTGCATTTAAAACTGTTTTGCTGTTCATTCTGAGAGGACTTTGGAGACATGGCCTGTGTTATAATACCACTTCCATTAAACATTGGAAGCTCAACTTTTTTACAAAAAAATTCACACAAACATTCTGCTCTTAATCCAAACAGAGGGGTTATGAACTGAGCCTTCAAACAGAAACTTTCAATATTTGGCTTCTCAGCTCAGTAGCACCAATCTGGGATGCCAACCAGCATGCACTGTAATTAATAATTGTTGTTAAAAAAGGTCCTAAAGGCAGAATACTCAGTGCATATAGCTTGTCTGCTTTTTTAACCAAAT